AAAGTTCAAGAGGAGGCTTGATCTGCAGAGCAAGCCACCAACAACCAAACACAGTGAAAAGGAAAACAAAACGGATCTCTGCTTGTGGAGCCATGTCCCAGTCAAAAAACCACCTCCTTCTATCTTCCCCTTGTAACGATGCCTTCTGCTCTGTGGCCACCAGCTTGGTGCCACCAAGAAGGAAAAAGCCTGGCAGGCAGTTGCATTGTTCTCCTGGCACGTCTGGCACATTTTAGCAATTTATTTGACAAAAGCCAGCAACCCTTTTGTATCTTCCTGGAAAGAGTAGTCAGCCATTTGTCCGGACAAAGTGCATCACCCTCTGTGATCTTTACATCAATGCCTGGTGCCGGGTTTGGCAGGGATGCCAGACTGTCCCAGGACCATTGATGATTTGAGCAGAACAATCACACACTGTGAACAAATCCTTTTCATATCCCATGGGGAAGCTGGCAGAAATCATAACGTAACCCAGAGCTTAACAAACCAGCAAATCTCAAAGCACTAAGCACAAACAAACGGACTACCTCTGATGGAAGGGCATGGGAACAAAGAGGTAGATCTCCATAGGCATTCAGGCATCTACTGGACTCTGAAAAACTGTCACAACACCATCCAGGTGCAGAAGTGTGGCCAGATATTGGGTCTCCTGCTTGCCTCAGTCATTTCCCCGGTGTCCGCACCACATTAATGCCTTCTACTAGAGGCAGTGTGATGGCATTTCCTCCCCATGGGGTGAAAACCTTGAAAACCTTAATACACCTCACTGCTTGTGATCACTATCAGCATCTTCCTGTACCCTCTCAGAGAGGTTGCTGACAATGCTCTGGTTTCCACAGCATCCTGTCCCTCCCATATCACCTGGCCACCGCTGCGGTGCACAGCTGTGTTGCTTTGCACGATTCCCAGCTCCCTCAGGCTCTGCTGTTCTCTGTTTCTAATTAGAGCCCAAATTGCCTCCCTCCGCGCTGATTTGTAATTCTAAAAGTGGCCAAGGTTCACAGCTTCCTCTTTGGCTTTTTTGGGGTGTAATCTCATATCTGCAGCAGGGAAATCTACTAAACCTCACCAACCTCAGTGCAACGACACTGCCTTTACCCAGATGTAACTCCTAACAGCGGCTGGCTGTTCACTTCATGGGTTTTGGAAACTTCAGCATACATCTCCACTTGCGCTTCCTTTTCTTCATTTGACACAAATCAATCTCTTTTCTATGTCCTGTTCTCACTAAACTGTGTATTTCAGCAAAAAATAAATAAATAAATAAAAGGAAACTTCTTCTCTGCTGTATTCTCTTGCTGCTTGTTCGTTTGGGTCGTTTTTATTTCTCAGGACTGGCTAGAAGAAGGCAAAAAGGACTGAGGACCACACAATCCTATTGTCAAGCTGAAAACAGAAGACCTCCACAGTTCCCCCGGCCCTGGGGTGGCAGCGAGCCCTCCCACGCTGCCTCCCAAGCCCAGGGCAGGACCAGCAGGCTCCATCTGCCCCCTCCCATTCCAAGGGCCTGACTCCTCCGGCATTTCTTCACACCTCCCACGCTACAGGCAACCTGGGCCTTTCCATGCAGTCCTCAGCTGCTCCCAGGAGAAAGGCAAGGCTCTGCTTCACCCTCCAAAATGCATACTCCTGAGGCTTGGCGAGCAGCTGGGCTATGGAGCTCCAGGTAACACAGCCCAGCTGAATGCCCGTGGCTGTGCAGGGCAGGCAGAGCACGTGGAGCCCTGCTGAGCTCATCTAATGGAAAAGCTTTTGCCTTACTGTCTCCTCTGACCATCAGAAGATCCAAAAAAAAAAAAAAACCACCCAAAAGCAAACAAACAACAAAAAAAAAGCCTCCAAGACCAGCAGAGAGCACCAACTTGGAGCTCAACCCTGTGAAATGGAGGTGAGGCCTCAACCCGGGAACCTGCCTCAGTGTTTCTCCAGCTCCCTGAAGAAGTTGCTTTCAGTCCTGCCATTATACCACACACATCATCTGGCCTATATGGTCAGTGCCTCCGTGTCTTCACTGCTCTCTTGACCACTGCTAGATGATAGAAGCTGGCCGGTGTGACCTTGGTATGATGCTGTGCAGTTGGGTGGTCGCTCCCCTAGGGGCCAAGGCAGCCCCTTGCTGGGGAAGGCTCCAGCTGCCTCACCTGAGCAGGGGATCAGGGCAAAGGGCTTCTTTGCATTCGAACGCACAGAGGTTTGTGCACTGAGCATCTCTGCAAACCTTCAGCATGAAAGCCAGCATAATGAGCTTTGCATGGGTATCGCCAGCAGTGGCTGTCTGGGAAAAATCAACTATTTCCCGTCAGAAGACCAAAGGCAGCCATCGCTGTCCTGCTTGTTATCAAGCTCCGTCCATGAAAAGAGTCTAGAGTATTTGTGTGTTCCTAATGGTTCTAATTTTGATTAAGTAAAATAGAATTGATCTTCCTCCTCAGGAAGCTGAGCTCAGTGCAGGAGCAGTTTTTGCTTCTTTACTTATGAGTAATGCAAGTTTGAACTCAGTTCTCAAAATACGTGTCTCACCAGCTCGGAGCTGCTTCACTGTAGTTATTCTTAGCCCCCAAGTCACCGTGATAAGAAGCTAAATTAAACTGATTTCCAACCAAAAACATATTGAAATGAAAATATTTATCATAACTGCTACTGGAAATGAGAAAGTGTTCTTCATTTTCAGGGCAAACAACATGATGTTTCTATAAGAAACCACTTCAAGGCTGATGCATTACTGGTCCGGACCTTCTGGAGTGAAAGATGAATGCAAGGTACCCTGCAAGGGACCCTTCCTCCATTCTCCCATCTGGGAGAATATTTTCATGTTCGATGGAGAATTCACAGCCCAAGTAGGGCAGATGCATCATGCACATGGGATCCCAGAGGGCTATCACAGCACAAGACTCCCCATGAGCATGCTGTATATTCAGGGAGGGAATGGAAAGAAGTCAAATGATAAATCTCATGCCCTGCATGTGAGATGTGACAAATCTGCTGTTCTGATTTGATAGTTTCTCACACAGATGCAAACAGCAGTGTGAGTTCTGTGGGAAAGAAGGCCCTTTCCCAGCAGAGCTCTTGGTGCAGTTTGGAGATGTGAGCTGTGTGTTCCCCTTTCATTTTCAGCTCCATTCGTGGTGCTGGAAAACATTGCTCAGCACCTACACATCTCCCCAGATTTTGTCTTACAAATCTGTCAGATAATGCCATGCCAAAGCTTTTGGGTTTGTCTTTTAAAGACCGTTTTTCCAAAGCTCTTTGCAAATATTTTAATAAGTAAACAAAACCTAAATTTAGTATACATAACAACTAAAAATAAAATAAAATAAAAATAATAAATTGTATATATATATATATATATCCCTTTTTATCTCGTGATACTTATGTCCTTACAGCATCACTTTTGCTACACGAGTGTTCAGGGAGTTCACAACAGTGTTCAACATTTTCAGGCTCTGGTCTGACCTCCTATGGGATAGACTTTGGGATACAGGTGTGAAGCCAAGAGCATCCAGCACTACTGTGGTTTATAGCGTCCGTGCTGGGCAACCATGATGCACAAGAAGGACTGCTCACCCTTAAGATTTGGCAGCCTGAAATGAGACATCTTTATTGTTTTTTCCAACACCACCAAGAAGCCTTACTGAGCCAAACCAGGTATTGGTGCTACTAACCCACCCAAGTTGTGGTCTTCCAGCATGTGTGATTCCTCTGAAATCTGCGTGAGATCTAAATGCAGAAACATGATGCTGGAAATACCTTGCCAAGCTTTCCTGCTTGGGCCAGTTTCTGCTACTGGTGAGGAACAGAGCAAAGCTTCTTCAGCCTCTGCAGGTACACATCTCCCTCCTGTTTTCACCAGATTCAGATCCCCTCTATCTTTTTCCTCTGGACATTCAGGAGAAAGGAAACACTTGAAATTTTACTAAGAGAGGAGGCAGGCCAGACCTTGACCAGGTAAGGACCAGCATTGCTTTGGCTTTTCAGCTGCCAATAAAAGCCAGCAGCAATAAACTATCTTTCTTTTTGGATCTGGCTTTGTGGGGAGAGAACTGATTTGCCCAGCCCTGATGCAATTAACTGCACAAAGCCAGGGCCACAACCATGATCTTCAATGTTTATCAAAACAGTTGGGTGAAGGGCAAAACAATATAGTAAAATGAAAGAAGCATGTAGCAGCATAGACAGCAAATAGCAGGGAAATGAGAGCTAGATAGTGACTTGAAGGCTCATCAACAAGCTAGGTATATCCTGCCCAGCCCTAAAACAATTCTTGCAAGCTTTATGACTCAGAGTTTTACCATGAAACACTCCCTTTCTAGTTTCCTCCTGCAGTCAACAGAAGCGCTTACTGCTGACCTGTGGCAATGTGCAATGAGAACTCTTCTCATGCTGGCTCAGCTGCCTTGGCCAACCCTGGGATTGGAAGGTACTAACTTAGGATAGAAATGTGGCCCATTCCCCATGCCACCCACCTGACTGCAGGAGGGGACATGCAAGTCTCCAGGCTGCCCAAAGTTCAGACATGCATGTGCCTTGAGCCAGATGTCACAGGTTACATATGCTGCATCCTGAGGTGAATAAATCTCCCCTGGGCTACATGCAGCTGCTCCAGGGCTGGAAGGATGAAAGGGTTTGTTATGAAAGAGGAGGCTGGCACAGCACTAAGCAGTGTGATGGGGAAAGCTGTTGGTCCCCCTTATCCCAACCTACAGCTGGGATGTAACCCAGACAGCTGAGCTCTGAGCTTTTGTTTCAGCTCCCCCATTCAAAGTTTAATCAAATTCAGCTTGGAATTAGTCTTTTCTTCAAGTAGTTTTCTGATGAGTAACCAAGTTACATCAGTGGCTGAGTCATAAAAAGCAAACCTTTGTGCAGCAAGAGCAAGCTATGGAAACTCCCTGTCACATCAGCTTTATGACTGCCGTTTTCAGATGTTTCAGAAAAAACAGCTTCTCTATACCACAATTAGTTCAAAACTTGTCAGTGGAAGTGAATACATGTTTTGAAAATGTTAGCAACTGATTAAATGGTACCTTAATTACAAAGAACAGAAGCAGAACTGCATGTGGGAAGGGGGACTGGCTCGGCAGGTCCCATGATACTTAATCTCCTGGGGACACAGCAGATCTAAGAGCATTTGCAGACTGTTGCAATCTCCCCCTGTAACCTTGGAAAAAATGGAGTTTCAAGGTTGAGCTCAATCAGTCAGGTTTTAAGAGAAACTTTGCACCCAATATAACAAGCTTTTTTCAACCTGGGGGAGAAGATGAGAACACTTACCACAGGACCATGTATGTCCCATATTGCATAATATGCTTGTATTGGATCTTCACAATTCATATCCCCAATGGACTTTTCTCCCTTGAATTTGTCCAGTCACTTTCTGAATCCATTTATTCACCAGCAACTACAACAGAGCAGTGAGCTCTGCAGTTTAATGCAAGACTGTGTAAAAAAGTACTTTGTTCTGTTTGTTTAAAAAATGGATTATTGGAAAAAAATATCATTTTAAAACCCCAGGTTCTCATTTGAGAATATATATATATATATTTATATATAATTTTGTTCTCTATTCACCTTCTCCATTGCACTCTTGATATAGCAAGCTCTACCACAGACCTTTTTAATAATCCTTCTTCCTAATCAGAACAAAGTCTTCTCATGTAGAAACAGTCCTATTCATTTTGCCATTGTTGTTGCCTTTCTCCATATCCTTTCTACTTCAACTTAATTATTTTCAGTAACAGAGTTAAGAACTGCATGCACTGCTCTGGGTGTGCAGCTTCACAGGTGTGAGTGCAAAATGTTTCTAGAGTAGCTTATTATGTTTTCGCTTTTGAGCTTTCTTCCTGTTTGAACAATACCTAACATCCGATTTGCCATTTTCTCTCTTCTGAACATTGAGTTGACATTTTCATAGGGTTATACGTGATGAGTCTAAGCTCTTCTTTCCGAGTGGCAGTAGCTAATTTTAGACCTCACCACTGTGCATGGTTAGGATTGTTTTTTGCCTTAAGTACATGAATTGCATCTGCTATTTTACCGTTCAGCCAATAAGCATTACAAGATCCTTCTGTTATTCTCTACTGTCAGTTTTAATTTTTATTATTCTCAGTAAACTCTGTATCATCAGGAAGTGCTGTCACTTCTTTACTCACTCCTCTTCCAGATCATTTATGAATACACTGAAAAGGAACCCAGCATATATATCTATAGAAGTTTATTAGTTCAACAACTGAAAGTTGTGAAAACTTTTTTCTTCCTGTGCTTTAACCTGTCATTAATACATGAAAGTGGTTTCCTTTTATAGGTTGCGTGATTGTTCCTTTTATATTTGAACTTTTGACCACTACTTTAATCCTCTGTTATTTTTGTGTACCATTTTTTCCAGGACAGCTTGAAGCCTACGCTTTCATAGCCCCATCCTGAAAGACTTGGCTGGTGAGTCCTCCAAAAAAACCAGTCAATTTATAGAAGCACTACAATGCCTCAGAGTAAATGCTGATGGTAGTCAAGTGTTTATGTACTTAGAGGTGATGCAGTGTACTGAGTCATATATGTCACCAGCTCTCCTGTTGGAACAGACCTCTGTACTTGGCCTGAATGCTGAAACATACCAAAACTTTAAGTTATTAGAGAACGTTTATGTGTCATTATGCTGTGTGATTTACATAGAAGACAAGTCATTCACGCCAAGCTCTGACAACTACCATTGCAAAAGCTCTTGCTTAATGCCAATCAAAGGACTGAAAGTGATCAAAATGTCCAAGCAAAAAAAAAAATCATCCAGTAAAACAACTGATGATTTGCAAGAGTCTCACTCTGGTTGTTTTGTTCTCAGTTACATCCAGTTATTTGAACAAAGGCTCAGATGTTTACATTACAAACACATTGTGCCTTAAGCCAGCAATTTTCTGTGTTTCCAGTACAGCAACCCAAATTTTCTTTGCATTATAAGCGTAACCACAAAACAAACTGAGCAAATATGTTTTACATTCCTACAGAGCTTTGTTGACAACTTATCAAAAACTAATCTGCAGACCACACTGCCCCATGTACTTAAGCAGATGCTGCTCTTTTGTTGTTGGAACATCTCAGGCATCTAAGGATGGGCTTTGGAAGTTGCATCTTCCCCCTTTTACACAAGGAACAGAAGTATAAAATTTAGTCTCTAAATTTACTGTAGCATGGAGTTCAAGTTACCCGTGAAGACCAAGTTCTCCTTGAACTGCTTGCCTGTTGGTTATAAACAGCACAGGAATTCTGCCAAGGAATTTCCTACAGGGATAGGAAAGACAAGTTTGGAATCAATAAAGAATTTTCCTCTAAAATGATGCCTTTTGTTGTTGTTGTTTCGTTGCTGCTGGGCTTGAAATTGAAACCTTTTTGCCTCAGTAGCTAGGTGGACAGCTTGCTCAGGAAAAGGCAGACACAAAATAAGCATTTCCTTGCAGTCAGGATGGTAACAGGAAACAGCCTGACTGTATCTGCACACCGGATCCAACCATGGCCCCTTTTATTTACACCCAGGCATGATGTATGCATGTACAATAGCCAAATAAAAAAATATTCCAAGCTATTGTTGAGTACAGATTATGGAGTCAGCCGTTGTTCTGCTGTGTGCACCAGCTTTGAAAGAGAGCCTTTGTAAAGGAAAATGTCCTGCTGTTTGTATCAGTTTCCCTCCCCAAAATGAATTCTGCATTTCTCCCAAAAACACACACTAGGCCTAAGTCTCCGTCTCACAAAGGGGCTCTGTCTAAGTGCCTTTGCTTAGAACACAGATTTTATTTATCAAAACTGAGCATGAAATTCAGTACCATGTTGATACTTTACATACAGAACATGCTGCTTCTCAGAAAGCTAGGATAGTGGGAACAGTGAGGCTGGGGTTCCTTCTCCTTTAGGACTTGCCATGCCTTCCCTTGCCATGGCAAGGGAACTGGAACGGGCACTGGAACGGGCTGCCCAGGGAGGTGGTGGAGTCACCATCCCTGGAAGTCTTCAAAAGACGTTTAGATGTAGAACTTAGGGATATGGTTTAGTGGGTACTGTTAGTGTTAGGTCAGAGGTTGGACTCGATGATCTTGAGGTCTCTTCCAACCTAGAGATTCTGTGATTCTGTGGCACATCCTTCCACCAGCTCAGGCAACCCAGCTAAGTCACTGCTAGCACCAAACTGTCCCTCACAACAACAACAACAACAAAAATCCCATGCCTTGCTCAAAACCAGAAGAAAGACCTTTGAGGGAAGCAGTAAAACAGCCTTTTGCAGACATTATATTGAAGAACGGATAGTGAGACAGGCCCTGCAGATGGTGGAGGGCTACTTCCACCCATGCTGTGCAGGCTGGAAGAAAGCTCAGAGAAATAAAAGGAGCTGTACTGGGCCACACCAAACTTTCCAACCAACTAGCCCCACATTTAGCCTCTGCAAGTAGCCAAACCAGATGCCTCACACTTGCTAGTCCTGTCTAAGTACAGCATATAATGATACCCACCCAAAATACCTCTCCAGCCTCCAGCATTTTGCAGCTTAGAGACTTCCAGAGCCACAGGTTGTATCTTAATAATCCTCAGTCTGTTTTTCTTCTGTGAATTGGTCTTCAATGAATTTTGACATCTGCAACATCCTGCACCAAGGCGTTTCACTGCTTAATGTCACGCTATGTGAAGAATAACCTCCAGTTATCACCTCTCTCTTCTACTAGGCTTCTCTGAGATTCTGAACTCTTTTGCTGGAGAAGACGCTAAATAACTGTACTGCACTGTGCTGGATCCAGCCCAACATGTAGTGCCCAACCCTTTGCAAAAATCTTTTCCCAGAAACATAAAATTATTTTTGCCAAATCTGCAGCTCCAGTATTCTGGGGAGTGCAAAGAGACTGGAGCTGTGTCATTAATGTAGTAACTTGGCTATAGGTAGCTGTTGTAACACACATTTTAAGGTGGATGCTCTTTCTGCCTATGGTTGCAGTTTGCTCCTCCAAAGGACCAACCACCTTCTGTCTCAATGTGCATGAACTACACCATGAAGACAGTATCCAAAGGGAGAAAGGAAGCCACCGGCGAACCACAACAAAGACATGAGATGTAGGCTGATCCTGACGTGTTATTGAGGAACAAAAAGGGAACCGTAGGATGGGAGACCTATGGAAAAGCACTCCACCCCATGTGGTAAGAGCAGCTCTCCTCGGTCACCACCCAAAATGAGAGGGCAAAAAATGTGTATCATAGCCTTTCTTCATTCCTTCAGGATACAGAAAGATTTGTAAGTAAAAGGAAAGGAGAATTTAGGACCAAAACCCTCAGTGGTTGCTGAAACTGGCTTCTGCTACTGCAGGCAACCCCCTCATCAGTTGCTTTTCATACAGCAATGAAACTCCCTTTTAACTCAGCCTAGGATTTTTGGCCTTTCATCTCCTGACAGAAATATCACTTTTCTGACCATTAAAGAACCTCTTCCCATCTCCAGTGTAAATGTGTTCGTTTCTCATTAACACCCATTTGTTCTCGTGCCAGTGCAGTTCACAGGCTTGAACAGCTGGGGGGATTTTGTTCCTGCGTGGCACTGACACCTCTCCTGAAACACTTTGAGATGATCACATCCCCTCTCAGCCCTCATTTTGTTACACTCTATCAGCCAAGGTCTTTTAATCTCATGCTGTAAAACACCACCGTCATTCCCCTTCTCAGCATTTGTTCCACTTTAAATTCCCCATTCTGGAACTTATCGAGAATTACCCGCAGCATTTCAAAGGACGCTCCTAGCTGAGTTATTAGCAGCGAGAACCTGCACTCCAGCCAGCCAGACATAAAAGCAGAAGGCTTTCCTACCAGAGCAGGAAACATTTCCAAGCTCTGGCAGGCCAATAAATCTTCACGCAGCCTGGCTATGAGGTAGGGGCAGGGACACATCACCTGTACCCACAGTTTGGCTGACAAATGGGCATCCCATCAGTGAACAAGATATGTGGGTAAACTGCCTGCAAATATTCTCTCCTGAGTTTGTAACCAGTCCCTTGTCCAAGGCAAGTGACAGAAAGTGGTTTTGCTGTACCTAAAGGAGCATCAGGCACCCTGAGTAAGGCAGATTTATAGGGCAGCCACAGCTGTATCAGTTAAAAAATGGTGACCTGTTTGTCCATGCTTTGAGGAGATCAGTGTGCCTGAATACATCAGCACCAGGACTACAGCGCTTTAAAAATCCCATTAATCAGAAAACACATTCATTAATCCCATATAATGCACTAAACTGAGATTACATGTGTTATGTGGAAATCAGGGGGTGAGGAGAAGGAGGCTTTAGCCTCTTCTTTAACTGCAGTGGACCTCTGTTCTGGAAGCTTTTAGCCCCTTTGATACCATGTTTGAGATGCAATCACTGTTGCTGTGGAAATAAACATGATGGCACATAAAGAAAAAAAAATGCTATCAAGTGGGGACGAGGCAATGGGAGCAAATGAGCCCTTATGAAACAAAGGGCTCTCATTCTCCAAGCACCACGTCTAACAAAACAAAATATCAGGCAGAGTGACTGAAAACATCTTAGAAAAATTGACTGTGCTTAGCTGCGTTATATAATGGGACATCATCAGATTGTTATCTAAATTACCCAATCTGAGGCATTTCACCCGTTCTGTGTTTCTAGGCTTCCTAAATGTTCTTTTTTTTAATCTTCCTCCCATTACAACCTCTGAAAATGTGTGCCTAAATCCTCGTGTATGTATGCACCGTTATTGACTTACCAACGCTAGATTGCTCCCCAGTCTCCTTACTTAATCTCCTGTGGCTCCGGGAACACTAAAACACAAAGATTATTGTGTGCTTGATATTGCAGATAATATCGTCATCTTTGAGTCTCGAAACTCTCCTGGGGCCCCTCCCTCAGGAAAATTCAACCGCTGCTACCGCTTTGCAACTCAAAACCAGAAAGCCCTTTTCTTCTGCGCTGTGACCTTCGCTGTAAGCATTGCAAAGGGCTGGAGTGAAGGAACAAAAAGATCCAAAAACCCTTCTGTGCAGCACATGCTCTTAACCTCGACTGCTGCTGGAAATGAGTTCTGCTTTAATCCAAGCAGGGACAAACACAAAAACAGCTCTTGTCATGAGACCTTGGGACTACAATTCCTGCAGCTGTGCAGTAATGACATTCTCGGCATGGCAGATCTCTATCTAAACCCCAGCTAATTGTTAGGAAGAGGAATGTCTGCACAAACATTCACGTCTCACATGCATTCCTGAGCTCTTCTGCAATCCTGCCTTCAGATCAGAAACCCCAAATGTTTCAGCACTCCTGAGGGGCAGGACACTAAGTAATATACCAGGAAGATGACGTGGATCCCAGAACAGTAGGAAGAAACAGATCAAGAGAAAGGAAAAATAATAATAATAACAAAAAAGTCATCCAAATGTTAATGAAGATAATGCAAATACAGAGCAGTAAAGGCTGAGAGAGTTTGGGCAGTACTTTGCTCCACTGAAAAAAATGATTTTTAAGAGCTCAATCCATCCAGGGCAACAATCCCCCTGAGCCTTCCAGCTGCTGCAGCATTTCCCTTGATCCTTCCAATCCTTTTTGCTGTGGGACAGAGAAACAAGGGGTAGCCCCACTGTGGAGGCACCCAGCCAGGGCTTCCCTTCCTGCCAGGACCAGGTGTGTGCCATCAGCTTTTTCACCCAAGCCAAAGGAAAAAAAAAAGAAGAAAAAAAAAAAAACAAAAAAAAAACCAGCCAGAATTAGAAGGGAACAATGGTCATGGAGCATCTTTGGTGTAACCAAAGGGGAACTTGGTCCATGTGGTGGACTTTGCATGTTTGGTATATAATTGGCAGCAATAAGACCAAATGAAAGCAGCAATAGAGATATACAACAGCACCTTTGCTGCTCACACCTTCTCCAAGCAGGAGATAAGGAGCCCAGGGAAAGCTCAGCTTGCTTTTTGAGGATGTGAGGTTTCAAGGAGCAAAGCACAGTGCAGACACAGGTCCTGCATCCCCACAGCCACACCACATCTGCACCCCCGGACACACATGCACAGCACGGCTTTATCCCAACAAAGGAGCATTTGTGTGCCTGCTGCTCGCCCCCACACTCATATCTGCTTTGGTCAAAAGTGATTGTGGTGGAAACAA